GTAGTTGAGTATAAAATGTAGAGTGTTGTGAGCATAGCAAAGAGTAGAGATTTGCCGCCTCCTAAATTTGACTTACTTCCCTATTTATAGAAGTTGAATCCTGATCCTAGGGATTGTGTTATCTGGGAAATCTTCTACTTTTGAATATAGGATATCTTCTCCTGAATCTAAATGTCATCAAAATATCTTCTCTTTTGAATCCGTTGAAGGGAATTGAGATTTTCTCATTCATAACATTACGTATTCAAATTGTGAAATGGGTTTGAGCACTCAATGAATGATTAATGAAAGAAATATTCGTATAAGTCCATTATTTATAGATGCTGGTATTTCCATCATCTAATCAAGTAGTTTTTCCATAGGTAGTTCTTTTCTTCTAAAATAATATGTTAGGGAGTGACATAAAAGTGTGTTTGAAAAGGTGAAAAGTACTTAGTAAAATATTTTTGTCTTTTATGTACTTAAGAAGTGCTTTTAAGTGGGCAGAATAAAACATCAAAATGCATTCTTATCGAAGTATTTTTAGGTTGAAAAACAAATTTGATCCTGTACTTTTATGAAGTAATGATTTGGTAATAATTTAATAATTTTTAGTAGGTAATAATTTAGTACATGTAGTTTAAAGTTTGTAACAATGTAGTGCATATCGTGAAATTTTTTGTTAAGTTTCTTATGTATGTAGATTAATAAACTGATGATAGACCAAATGTATTTATAAATTACAAAAAATAAATTCTTACACATCATAAAAATGACGATTAATTTTGATGGAATTTTTCATGGTAAGGAATTTAAACTATAGGGATCAAATTGTTACGTCAATTTGGAAGTACAGAGACTAAATTGTTAGAAATTAAAGTCTAGAGACTAAAATGTTACTTTTGGCAAAAGTACAGGGACCAAATGTATGTTTAACCTAATTTTTACTAAATTATTTATTCTAGAACCACTCTTGAACACGTCATAAATTAAACAAAAATTGCTTATCCGCAAGTGTACAGGGGTCAAGTTTTAATAAAAATGGTAAGTAAATACCAACACGTCAATCGGATTGGGTTTTCTAGTCCACTCAAGCACCATAAATACTAATCCCCGATTCCCCGATTTATTTACAGAAACAACAATGGCGTTACAAACACAAAGAATAAAGAAAGAACTTTTATGGGGAACAAATATAAGGGAATTGACTTCACCAACTGAATTTAAGAGCATAAAAATTAAACACACCAAGATTGAGTGTGCAATTAATCTATAAGTCAAGAAAATACAATTCATAACTGTCTCTCCCGGGCACAATTGATTCTCCCACTTATTAAGAAACCAACATCTCTATCTAGTTTCGTTAACAAACAAAGGCTCTATCTTAGAACTAACTCAGTCATGCATTCAAGTTCCAATCTAAACCACCTCTCCTGAGCGTAAGATTCAGATTTGTCAACAATTAATATGTGATCAAGAGATTAAAAGAATTAAGCAAACAAATGTACAAATAGATAAAGAACAAATCATTTAATCTAACTCATAAATCCAGCGGCTACATAAATCTCAATCCCTAGAACAAGAAATTTAGCTATTCATGTTCTTGAAAGTACAATAAAATCTCGATGAGAAGTTCATAATCAAAATAAAAACAGATAAGGGAAAGAAAAGAAACTTAATTCATCGTGTTGATTGATTGTCTCTAACTCAATCACCCGATCTTGAGCCTTCAAAACAGTCTCCTCATCCTTCTCGCCGCTTAAATCTCTAGAATTCTCCAAAAGTCCTTTTGGATGCGGCTAAATATCGTATTTATAAAATAGTGATAGCAATGCTAGAGGTAGCATCTCAACTCTGTATCCTAAATAAGCGAGGAATCTCAATTGAAGCATTGAGATGCTCTAGGTAATGTTGGGACACTCCGAACTTGCTTGTGCGTAGAACCTCCGTGTTCGGAGTATAGAGATGCTCCTGGGTAGCGTTAGCTACCTTGTCGGGTCTTGGCAGCGTCTCAATGCTGTCCCCTCGGATTCTTGGCTCCAACTAGCATTGAAATGTCTTCTTTTTTTCTCCGGGCTATAATTTTTCTCTTACTTTGATCCAATAGTGTCTCGTTCTCTCTGAATTTCTCATTCGTGCAAAATATGACTTATGTATGTAAATTTGTCATGAGCAAATGAAAATTGACAAATAATTCCAATGAAAACCTCATGAAATGTCGTTCATGTGGTGTACTATCAATGTCATTGTAGTTTTTAACCATAGTTAAAGGAGTTGACTCATTCTTCTCACTAGAGTTAACTCACCCACAATTAGTTAGTTAACTGCTTCTAGTTTCATTTATTTGGTTAAACAAAACAATCTAGAAGGGGGTTGGGTTTAAATACCTAAGATAAAGACTACTCTGGAGTACTGTACTTGGTGAATAGTTTCATTTGATAATAAAGAAAAGCTCTCTGATTGACAGTGGATGTAGACATTGAATGTCGAACCACTATAAACATTTGTTGTTCTCTCTTCTTCTACCTCTTCTTGCTTTTATCTTACTTGATAGTTAGCTTGATTCCGCAACAAATTGGTCTCAGAGCTATTGAAGAAGAAGAAGATTGGTGCCAAATCTAGTTGGCTTGTTTTCGTTTGGAAATTCTTGAAGCAAAAGGTCAGATTCTTGACTCCTTCTGACACTTAATTTTAATGGAATTTTTTACTATAAAGACTAAATTGTAACAAATTTTAAACTATAGGGACCAAGTTGTTACACCAATTTGAAAGTATAGAGACTAAATTATTACAAATTAAAGTCTAGAGACTCGATCGTTACTTTAGCGAAAGTACAAGGACTATTTTTTAACCTATTTTTTACTAAAGTATTTATTGTGAACACACCCTAAATTAATGCATTTATTACATAGAAGGTATAGCATACAATCACTTCATCGTCATGTCAAACACATTTTTTGACCCAAAATTAAATAAACACATGCAAAGGTAATGAAAATGGTGGGTCAATTGCACCTAATTTTAGGTGAATTAATCCAAAATTTTCTATTGAGTTTTAAAATTTTTTGATGGACTTGATTTTGTGGCTAGGTTTAGAAATTGTAATTATAATAGATTTAGATATAAATATACAAAAATCAAAGGAAGAGCCAATCATTAAAAAGGAGAAATATAAGAAAGTGTAAATAATAACTAAATGAAACTAAAATAATAAAAATGAAGAGGTGAATAAAAAGAAAAAAAATTAAGAAATTAACTCAAGAAACCTACAATATACCGACTTTTAATTTACTTTTATTAAAGCAAAAAATAAAGGTAATTTTAAAAAAGGGGTGGGATTTACAATTTTTAAAATGTAAGAAGGATAAAGGAGACGAAAATTCTGTTGATATAATCCTTTTTTTAATATAGTAAAGAAGATAAAAATAAAAGTTCAGTTATTGAAATAGTTACAAATGTACATAATATATTTTCTCTTTAATAAAATACAAATATAAAACTTAAAAATTAGAGATGGTAATCAATTTAGAAGTGTTCTCTAAATATAAAGTTATAAATATCTTGACATGTTCAAAGACAAATATGTGTCCGAAATTTCATTTAAAAAATGAACTTAATTCAAACGCTACCTAAATTAATTATATAAAAAAAAAGAAATAAAAAAAAAACAGCAGACAATGGCTTTAAATGGGGTAGTTGGGAGTCAAATACAAAGCATTTCTTTATGTACAGAGTTTTTTAATTAAAAAAATAGAAGAGAATATTCATTTGTTTCCTAATTTTTTATTTTCTTTCTAGAATACTACCTCACAAATACATGGAGAAAATTCGGAAATTAGAAATATCAATATTGAAAGTATTCAAATTGACAGGGATATTATTGAAGTGAAGATTCCACCTTACAACTATGTAATAAAGAAAAATTTTGTTCAATTACACACGAGTGGTGCTAATCACACACTCTGTAGTGTACTTGATTATGAGGTTTTTTCCTTTATTTATAGAAGGAAAAATCTAGAGTCGATAGGGTATCTATCTTCTTTTGAATTCCTATAAGATCAATTTGAATCCCTTAGATCTTGGAACTCATTATGTACATGAAGGCTATCAAAGTAAGATGAGTTTAAGTCGATTGTAGAATAACGATCTCGTCTTGACTAATCAGAAGATGGTCGATCGAGCGATCGGACAAGCCCACGCAACTACTAGTCGGCCTTGCAGGTTGGCCAAGGCGAGCCAACCAGCCAAAGTTGGTCGACCTCGTCAGCTTGGACGAGCCAAGCAGCAAGACCAGGGTTGTGGGCCTCAATCTTTGCATGAGATCTTTCTACTAGCCCCTCTCCCTCCTCTCACGTTTCTTGTTTATCCCTCAAAATCCAATCTCTAACAGAAGTTTGTCCCTTCATGTAATTAAATAAGCAGTCGACATTTTTACAATAGCAGTTCTTATAATTAAATTTTCACATTATCAACAGGGAACCCAACAAATCGAAAATGATGTCTTATTGAACACTATTGCGGCCAAACCCAATGATTTCTTCTCTTCAATCAGCAAGACATCCAATGCACGGTTGGAACTGGGTGATCTACTCTATATTTGGATACTGATGATTTTTGGCCTTGGAACCTACACAAACATGGGAGCTTCACTGTAAAATCCTTCACTAGATTCCAACCCCTCCACAACTTCTCTTTACAAGGCATCTAGAAAGCATCCTTTCCGAAGAAGGTCGATTTTTTAAGTCGGGAATTAAGCCCTACCCTTTGGCTTCAACTCGGAGAAAGAGGAATTCTAGGCTTTCTGAAGAAAAACACTCCTCCGCCTCCCAACACCTGATTTTAAAATGTCTCCTGAACACTCTTATATCGAATTGGAGAAGTTTTTTATTACTATGTTGGGTAGGATTTAGTGAAATTATTTCTCATTAAAAAAGATGTTAAATTGAATACAGGTTTACTTCAAAACCACCATTACAGGGAACAGATACAATAAAAAGGGAGTAAAAAAGAAAGCAAGACACTGCACAATAAAAGGAGCTAAAGCTTAAATAAAAGCCCACAACACAAGACCAATCATAATTTTCATCATCCGGAAGGGTAAAAATCTCCGGTACTGAGCAAATCAAAACCAAAAAAATGAGTGTGTATATGTCTTCTGCAAATTACTCTTGTTTGACTACTAAACCTTGCTCTTGCAGCATCTTGAGCTCAGGCCCTGCACACAAGACTCCATACAATCCTGAATTCTACAACCTTGAAGATTCACGAACCGCAAGACGCCACACGACCCCCATTTGAACCACAGTGACTAGAAATCTCATTTTGAAAAGAAGGGAACAAAAAAAGAAATGGAAAGGGACTCTAACCAAGTACACCAATTTAGACGACTCCCACTATCCCAACCCCAGAAGAAATCCAATCCAAGAACTGACTATGTTTTAACGTACCAAGACATGTATGGAAGCAAGGTCAACCGTATCATAATCTCGGATGTATCTAGTGGAGGAAGCAGGCTACTCATCATTCTTCTTCTCTGCATCTGATTTTGCTGGCTCGCCCTTGCTGTCGTCCTCAGCTTTCTTCTCTTCAACGCTCAATTTCTCAAGTAATCCAGCTGCTGCAGATGCATCCTTATTTTCCTCTTTCTTCTGTTGCGACTCGGCAATTTCTTGGAATGTTTCCCTGAAACTCTTGCAGTCTAAAGCAAAGAATATTCGTTACCACCAAGGAAAAATAAACCAACTAGAATAGTCAATAATGTTAGCTATCTAAGATAAAAAAAAATGATAAGATGAACATTCTCCAAATAATGCTCTAGCTATCTTGGAGTAAGCAGGCATATAAGCAATAAAGGAAATTTCAAATGTTGAGGAATGATAAAAATGAGTACCAAAACCAGGGAAAAAAATTGAGAACTCTTGAGACTAAATGACGAAGTTGAGAAAAGAAGTAGAAATGGTACCAAATAAAATAAAAAAGGAAGACAAAAAAAGTAATAAAATGGAGTTCAAGAATTGTGAAAAAAGAAAATATGGGTATCATTTCCCATTTCGTGTACATGGAAATGAGAAATTGGACAAAGAACACGTAGCGTGTCCCAGCCTCTAAATCTAAAACCGAAGTTATGTGCCATTTATTCTCTCAAAAATCTAAGGCACCACGATGTGCACTTCCCAAGTAAAATGTCTATAAATGTTTTGAAAATATAGTAAGAATACGATGATAAAACTTCATGATCTTATGAGCAGACGCAAACACAATATCTTTGGGACCTTGTTAATTAATAATTTAGTGATTACGCAAAACACAGACGAATAAGAGGTTACCTACAAGACAATTAACTTGAGTTAATTTAGTAGTTACAGGTTTCAAAGAAAAATTGATTTCCTAGCTATCATCAAGATCAAGCGATGGCAGAGTTGATGCTTAAGTGAAAATAACAGGATCAACTCTTGATTTGTACAAGGTTCCTATCTAATTGAAAGTTACAATGACAAAGAACTTATTTCTAGGTAACTTTGACGCACAGACATTCATTGGTGACACGTCAACTAAAAATTACGATGACTGAACATGTAATATCTCCTGAAAGTAGAGGGAGATGAACTAGATTAATAATCAAGGTAATCCAATTAGATGTTAAGAGACCTTGATTTATCATGTAATATGTTTCTTAAATTAGTCTTGATAAACAGTGAAAACAATAGAATTACCCAGACTTCTAATTTTATCGTATGCAAGGTGCTTGATCACATTTAAAGGAGAGAAATCCCAATTGCCTCCTACCTTTCACCTTCAAATCCTCATACTCTGCCATTGCCACAATCCTCTCTCTTCACAATTAAAATCCATTCACCCACTTTTTCTATTCAATTATATTATTTAAATTACCTTAAAAAAATTTCAATTCATCCTTCCTATTTTCCCACATACCTCCTAATTTACTACTGCCACCTCTATACATTCACACCATTAAAACCACTCTCCTTTTCACCCACTTTTCTTTTATCAAATTTTATTAGAAAATATTTCATTAAATAATATTGAAATTCAATACTTCTTTTTGATGCAACCAATCTTCTACTCAGCCACCGCCATAATGTCACACATGATGTGAAAATTTTCAGAATTAAATGACAAAGGAAACCGTGCAGATCAATAAAGACGGATGTATGGGCATATATTGCTCCCCTTTTCATTAGAAATAACTAAATGTTAATCAAAATGAAAAGAAATATTGTCAATTGTCAAATTAATAATTAGTACATATAATTTCTTTCATAAAAGATAGACAGAGAAAGAGAGTAGTAAAAGTTCCATTTATGAAATCGTCTAACGAAAACATTAGAATTATACTGGATTATAAGAATACATTCTATGATTTAATCTTTTATAGAATCAAGTACTATTACAAGGTAAACGTTAAACTTAGAACCATATCATGATAGTAGACTATACTATAGTTTCTTTAATCCGCATACTTTGAAGCCATTCAGGTGAACAAAAGGGGTGAATATGAGTGAACCTTTTGTGTCAAAACTAATGAATCAGACACAACTAGAGATCACTTGTTTAACAACCATCATACTATTGATATTGCCCCGCAATAATAGATCAAAAGGCTCAGAGAATCTACAGTTTAACCTACAGCCAAATATTTGAGGGAAAAAAAAAAAGCCGAGTTGTACTCACTCTCAATAGATGGGAATCTGATGCAGAAAAGCTCGTCTTTCAATTCACCATCCGCAAAGTCAGTGGCATGCCACACACACGATTTGTCATTTCCAGCGTGTTCTTGAACCGTCATTGACGGAAGCACTACAAGCACAACAACCAAACGATAAATCAAAAAACTAGGAGAGAAAACGAAATGACGAACTCAATGGAGGTGGAACGAACCAAGATGATTAGCGCAGATCTTGAGGGTCTTAGACTGTCTCATAACAAGGCGAACCTTGCCAGTCTCCTTATGCTTCAAAAACTTGACAGTACCAGCACCCCTCTCCTTCCACTGGTTTCCATCTTTATCGAATCGGTAGAGTTTGGCTTTCCTAAAACGGCATGAAACAAATCACATTCAGACTAGACTGAACAACAGATCAGATAAACCCTAAGAAACCGAGTTTGAATTAAGAAGTGGAGAGATAAGCGTACAGATCGAGAACAGCGTCCTCGTCTTCTTCGCCGGTGGTAACGGCGACCTCCTCCAACTTGACGATCGGGGCGACTTGAGCCCCAGTGTCCTCATCGTCTCCAGCCGGAGCCTCGTCGTCGTCTCTGCGCTCGGGATCGGTGCTCGCCATGAATGAACGAAGGAATGGATCGGAATTCGGGGAAGGCAAAGGCAGAGTGGGAGAAGAAAGAAAGTAGGGTTTTTATTATTATCAGGAATGACAAATCAAGAACTCTCCCTCCTCAGATTTATCTTTTTAAACAAAGAAAAAACACATGACGGTTGTTTAAATTTTATTCTGTAATTATTATAAATAGAAATGGCAATGGTTTTGACTACGGGACCTCGAACTCACAACATGTTTGGAGATTTATTTTACTTTTAACTTTGAGCTATACTTATGTTCGATCCCTCATTAGGGATGTTCATGGATAGGGTGGGAACGAGGAGGCCTCCCCATCTCCGCCCTCCATTTCATTCCCTACAAAATTTCACAGATGGAAAATCTCTGTGGAGAATTTACGAGGATCGGGTTTCTAGTGGGGATTTTTTATCCCCGTTTATTCTTTTAATTTTAAATTATTTTTCAATTAAGCATTTTTTTAAGAAAATTTCGATATAAATTTTTTTTTTAAATGCGAGGCAGGGCGGGAAATGGGGAATGCATTATTCGTCCCTATCCCTATTTAGGTGACGGGAAAAAAATGCATCCTGCCCTGTGGAGAATTTAAACGGGGATTTCCCACCCCATTTAGGCGGGTCCCTGTGGAGATGGAACTTCGTGGGGAAAATGAACATCCTTATCCTTATCCCTCACATCTCCATATTGTTGTACTCAAGGAAAAAAAAGTAACCAATTTTAGTCCATGTTTAAAAAATTTTAGTACAACTTCTAGACCACGAAAATTTTAAATATAAAATTAGGAATACATTTCAAAATCATGTTAAAATTTAGATCAAACAAGAGATAGAAAATAAAATGTACTGGACTTTTAAAACCTAATAATTTAAAGTTATGAATACATTTTAAAAAGTATTTGAGTCTAATGTCAGGTTGAAATTGTGATTAAAAATTAGATAAAATAAAATAAGATGAAGATACCAAAACGATCAAAATTTGAAAGTATAGAACCAAAATGAAAATTTCAAAAGTATTGTTATTAACAAAAACTATATTTAAAATATAGACCAAAACGAATGAAGGAAAAAAAATATAGATATTAAAATAGTATGTTGACCTTTAATTATTTACGAGTTTTAATTTACAACATCATTTAAATATTTAAAAATATATTATTCTCAAAAAAAAATATTTAGAAATATATATGTACTATTTTTTTTAATAGAAAACGTGAATTCCCCAAAAAGAAACAAAAAAAATAATTTATTATACATTTAAAAAATAAAAAAATTATCAAACATTGTATTATTAAATATTTATCAAACATTGTATTAAAATGCAGTAGTCCTATTAGACACAAAATTAAATCCTACCAAAAATAAATAAATTTTACACCTTTAAAAATTGTAGAATAGGTCAAAAAAAACTCATTAAACACAAAATTAAAAGTTCAAAAATCTACTAACACAAAATTTAAAATAAGGTTTTAAATATCGACATAAAAAATAAGTCTCATGCCAATAAAATAACTTGAGAAATATTTCTAGAAAAATCATAAAAGTCAATAAATTCATAAAAAAATATTTCACCTCAACATATTCTTATTATTAACATTATTCCTATTTTTTTATGACATCAAAATGTCAATTGAAAATAAAATAAAACAATTTTAAAATACAAAAACTAATTAAACAGAAAATCACTCATAGGATTTAAGTTGGACTATAATTGATACCTTACCCAAAACACAATATTATATCAAAAAGCTAGATAGCAATAGTGAAATTAGAAGATGAACCCTAAATTCAAATCATTAGGATTATTGAGCGACAGGCATCAATCGTAACATTACTCAACAAAAGCTATTCAATCAAGTAGTTAGCCTGTGATTAGTCAAGGTGCGAGCAAGCTGACTCGCGGACACACAGATATTAAAAAAACATCGATCATTGATGTTGTATTTATGTGAGCACCACCTCTGAGAAATACAATACAAACCATCCTCAAAAACAGATGATACAATATAAAGCAAAGCAGTCAAAATGCAAGCACACTGCACAATAGAACATAGCTAAAACTTAAATAATAGACACCACACCACAAGACAGAGCATAATTTTCTCATTATCCGGAAGCTGAAAATCATCGGAACTGAGCAAATCAAACCAAAAAGTGTATATATAATTACTCTTGTTTGGCTACTAATCCAACCCCTTTTGCAGTATTTTCAGCGCACAAACTTCATGGTATTCTAAAACTGCTATTCAACTTTGAGGATTCACAAACCGCCACCACACGACTACTTGACACACACTGACTACAAATCAACCTCATTTTGAAAGGAAATGAAGAAAACGACTCCAACCAACTGACCGACTGACCCACGTATGATTCAGACGACTCCCAGTTCTCCAGCCCACAAAAAGTTATCCAATCCAAGAATTGACTATGTTTAAACGTACCAAGACATGGATGGAAGGAAGAGACGTCAACCTCATCGTAGTCTCTGCTACCAGATATATCTGTAAGGGCAAATAACCTCCTCCTATTTGCTCTTCTCTGCATCTGATTTTCCTGGCTCACCCTCAGGAGTATCCTCTTCCTTGGATTTTGCGGGTGTGTCCTCAGATTTATCCTCAGATTTGTCCTCAGCTTTCTTTTCTTCTTCAACGCTCAACTTTTCAAGTAGACCAGCTGCTGCAGATGCATCTTTATTTTCCTCTTTCTTCATTTGGGACTCCGCAACTTCTTGGAACGTTTCCATGAAGGTCTTGCAGTCTAAATAATACAAAGAAAATATTTTTAACCAAGAGAAAAAAGACTTACTAGCATAGCTGATAAAGTATCTATCTTAAGGGGGAAAAAACTAAAATGATAAGATGACATTCTCTATAAAATATAAGTTCCACAAATGTTGGACTAGACACAAGTGTGCGGCTTACAAGTCCTAGAATTTTTACTTTCTTTCTAACCTACCTCAGGATCCCAGATGAAATGTTTGTTTGGGAGAAATAAAGGAAATTAAAATATTTAGAAATGATACAAATAAGTACCAAAACCACAAAATGAAAAGTTTTGAGACTAAATTATACTGCAAATTGGGAAAGCCGAGTAAAATTTGATGAGAGATTAAAAGAATGGAAACATAATAAAGTGAGTTAATAAGCAGGCAGGTATCTTTTCTCCATTTCAAATGCACTAGAAATGAAAATTTGAACAAAGAATGTGCAGAGTGTCCAAGCCTTTAAATCTATAAGTGTAGTGTACAAAAGCTTGCACCAACATGCATGTCTGCATGCTTCATAAGTCAAATATTTATAAACAGATTGAACATAGAGCAAGTTAACAAGAATTAAAACTTAGGAAATGAGCAGAAACACAACCATATCCTCTGCTGTTGTATTACTAATTTAGTAATTACACGAACAAAAACAAATAAAAGATAACCTACAAGACCAGCTTTAACTTGATTTAATTTAAAAGTTACAGATTTGAATGCAAATGCAATTTCCTTGCTAATACCAAGATGAGGCCATGCCAGAGAAGATGCTTAAATGAATTTAAAGGACCACATTGAATTATTTAAGGATGAAAATCCTAATCATCGAATGTGTTAACTATACACCTCCAAGAGAAACACAAGTACTGATAATTATTACCTAGGAAATTTTCATCTGCACCATTAATATCTTCACCCCTTTTTCTCTCAGTTTTTATTATTAAAATCCTCTTAAATAAAATTACAACTGTATCCCCTCCCTCTTTTCACCCTTGAAAACTCCCGACCCTGCCACTGCGCCACAGTTCCCTATCTATCCACCATTGTAACCACTCGCCTCTTCTTCAACTTTTTCGGTCAAATTCTATGAGATAATCGTCATTAAATAAAATATAAATTCCCACTTCCTATTTTCAGTCACCTACCTTCAACTCTGCCACTGCCACAATTGGCACACAAAGTCAAAGTTTCCAAGATTAGATAACTGAAGAGACTGTGCAGAGTACAAGAGATGGATGCATGAATAGAGAACTTCCTCGTTTCTTTAATAGGAAAAACAAATATCAATCAAAATGAAAATAAATATTTTCATTGTTAGAATCAATCATCAGTTAAAATAAGCAGGGTAATACATGGATAAAATAATCTAGTGAAAGCACTATAATTATACTATGGATTTTAATATTAAATTCCATGCTCTAATCTTTAATAAAACCAAATATTAACATGTATTAGGGCAAACATTCAACTTAAAATCATACCCATGATAGTTGACTATACTGTAGTTCTTATGGCGACAAACTGTACAAGCTAAACCACATGCAAACCAGACATTTGTACTCACTCTCAATAGATGGGAATCTGATACAAAAAAGCTCATCTTTCAATTCACCATCAGCAAAGTCAGTCGCATGCCACACACACGATTTCTCATTTCCAGCGTGTTCTTGAACCGACATTGATGAAAGAACTACAAGCACGAAAATCAAACGATGAATTGAAGAACAACTAAATCAAAATCAAGAAAGAAAGAGAACTCAAAGGAGCTCCATGTCCATATATAGGCGCAGCAACAGTAAGCGGAAAACTAAGAACGAACCAAGATGGTTAGCGCAGATCTTGAGAGTCTTAGACTGTCTCATAACAAGGCGAACCTTGCCGGACTCCTTATGTTTCAAAAACTTGACAGTACCAGCACCCCTCTCCTTCCATTGGTTCCCATCCTTATCGAATCGGTAGAGTTTGGATTTCCTGAAACAATGAATTACCCGACACGAAACAAATCAACCCCAAAACCTAGATTAAGCATATCAGATAAACAAGCATCGGAGAAAACCATACAGATCAAGAATAGCGTCTTCATCTTCTTCGCCAGTGGTGACGGCGACGGCCTCCAACTTGACGATTGGGGCGACTTGGGCTCCAGTATCTTCATCCTCTCCAACTGGAGCCTCCTCCTCTTCTCTGCGCTCGGTATCGGTGCTGGCCATGGGAGATAGTTTCGTCAAGAATTTGGAAGCGAAATTGAAAGGAAGACGAAGAAATGGATCGGAATTCGGGGAAGGCAGGCGGAGAAAGTAGGGTTTATAAAGGCGAGTGAGGAACTGAGTGAGAATGAAGATGAAGCCTGACTTCAGTCTTAAGATTTCATTTCGCATTCTTTTAACCCTAATTCTCTTTTTTCTTTCTTTTTTTTTTGGACCAAAAAAAATACCTAATTTCAATTTTATTTATAAATAATATGTAATTTCGCCTCTAGTTGATTGATGTCTCTCTATTTTAAAACGGCTATTTTTGTTTTTATATTTTTAACTTTTTTCATTTTATCTTTTCGATTTCGTTTTTTTTACCACACGAAAATTTTGTTTTACTTCTAGTATTTTCATTCTCGATCAAATTTTAGTAAAAAATATACTCATAAATTTTTTTAATACAGTAAAAATTTTGAAAGTATGAAAATTTTGTTTCACTTCTAGTATTTTCATTCTCGATCAAAATTTTAGTAAAAAATATACTCATAAATTTTTTTTAATACAGTAAAAGTTTTGAAAGTATGAGAATTAAAATGACAAAAATTAGAAATTACATTAACTAAAATAGACATTTTGAGAGTAGACATCAAAATTGAAAAAAGTCGGAAATAAAAAACCAAAATAGTATTTAAAATCTAAATAATAGAAAAATATATTAACAAAGTGTTGGATAGATTTGATAGATGACAATAGCCTTTAAAATTTTGAGTCACTCACTTTATAATTAAGATATTTGTACTTATTATATAATATTCTTGAATTTTCTTGAATTTTCTTCTCATAACTGTGATGTAATATTCTTAGAATAAAGTTTCGATCAAACAAAATAAATAAGTGAACCAACTAACCTAATAAGTAGTATAACCACTTAGATGTATTTGGTTAGGTTCGGTTTCTTGTTTTACTATTTATTATTTATTTTTTGTGTGTTTTTTTTAACGAGAAATGAAAACTTATTTGATAATCATTATTATTTTCTTTATGTATTTTAAAATGAAATATGAATGTATTTTGTAACTCTTTATTGTTTTTTATTCCCTTAACTTGGCAAGGTGGGTCAATTTTCACCCAAAATACTCAATTTCATCAACTTACATGAGCATTACAATTTTAAACAATGTAAAAACTTGTAAGAAGTCTCTAATGTTGTTTTTTTTCTTAAATACCATCAATTTTGTACCAGTTAATTCATTAGAATACTTTCCTTGCCATTTAAAAAATAAAAATTAAGGGTACAAATTGACATACCTTACAAAATTTGAGGTAAAAATTAATTTTTTCCCCTCTTATATTTTTATCCACACATTTTAGATCATCAACCCATAAAATATTGATTTGCCTATGACATATGCTTCTTTTAGGCCCAATTTTAATGGGTTTTTGCTTCCATTGCTTTTTTTTTCTCTCTGAGTCCAGCCCATTTCCCAATTCAGCCATGAAAATACCCTACTCTGATTTTTCTCAACGTTACTCAAAAGTTTAACCTGTGATATTGTGATATTTTAGTACTCTGTCGAACGAACCTGATCATAGTTCAATTGGTTAAGGTATATATCATATTAACTAAAATATCTGAGATTTGAATACTCATTCTTATATGTGGTTGAACTCAAAGAAAAACAAAAACTTTGTTCGATTGGCTTAGCTGAAAAGCTACTTTTATAAGAACCTGAACCTTTTTTTGTTAGGTGTTATCTATTTTTCTTCTCTATTCTTGTCATTTTATCTAACTTTAAAAAAAGACTATAATTGTAGCATTAATAGGAATGACGACGAGGCAAAGCGGGGAAGAGGATATCCTCTGATCCTAACCCTAGCCCTAACTTGGGAATCATGATTGAGTCAACTATGCAAAGAAACTTGTTGAATATTTATTTTTAGTTAAAGAATTAAATATCTATAAATATATAAAAAAAAAATAGTATTTACATAATTTATTAATTTAAATAATTGATTTTAAAATATTTAAATGCTTTTGTAAATAATTTAATAAAATATTTATAAATATGTATTAATTATTTTTAAAAATCTGGGATGAGAGAGGGGTCGAGGCGGAAAATAAAGAAGATTGAAAAAAAATTATTCAATACAAAATAAAGAAAAACTAATATTGGAGAATAGAAGATTGCATACTATATATTTATTCAGATAAAACCAATCCAGAAGGACAAAGTTTTAGAATAATTTAGTTTTAAAAATAAATTTCTTTAAAAATAATAACAAAATAAATGTAATTTAAATAAATAAATTCAAAACTAAGTTAGGTTTTCAAAATTATTGACAAAAATAGGTTATGGCAAAATGAAAGTCAAAACTCGCCTACAATGTCTGCATTTCCATGCAAATGTGTATATTTGACGTGGCAGGTGACTTCTTTTCTTTTTTTGGAAGTCGCGTACTGTAGGCAACTTCCACCTTTTAGTTTTTTTTTTTGGAAATCACGTACATTACACGGCACAACCTTTTTATTTTTTATTTTTATTTCAGTTTTTATATTGTTATTTTGTTAATATTTCAAAATTTTATTAAGATGTGATTAAATTTTGATTAAAATGTCATTTAAAGTCTGAAAGTTTAAAATTAGATTAAAACCAATTCAATTGTTAAAATGTCATTTCAGCTTTTTGTGCTTATATATTCTACAAAACAACATTTAAATTTAAAATAAATTAAATCGATAAAAGATTATTAAATTAATGAAAACATAAAAGTCAAGGTATAAATTACATGAATATACGTAATTTTTTTAGAATAAATATATAATTTTCGAGCATTGTACAAAGTCAATAACATATTTATTTAAATATTCCCCAACATCATTATAAATTTACTGCAAAACAAACATGATTATTATTTAAACCTGCCGAACTTCACATCTAAAATATGGAGAAAATTTAACTTTAGCCCATGATAGTTAATACATGATATTTTTTTTCAAATATGAAGAAAATTAAGATTATAAGTGTTTTTCTTAAATTATGGTTTTTTAAAATAAAATTCAAAATATGTAAAAAAAGAAAAGAAAAAGAAGAAGAAGAACAAAGGGAGGTGGGAAGTAGATCAATTTCTTTTTTTTTTTTAATTTTGGAACGTCAGTCGGGCACGTCAAGGGCAGCTGCGACTTCCATTTTATCATAGTCAATGATTGGATTTCGGTCTAAGTTGCAGTCGATCGTTGCCTGCGATTTATCTTCCCCATTTTTGTAATTGCTTTGAAACCTATACTAGTTTTGTCATTTGTTTTTTAAAACTAATTATTTAAAAAAAATCCAAAAAACGAAAGTATGGAGAGAAGTCATTTACTTTTGTGCAAATAATGAATTTTTTTGGTATATATTTTGGTATTATTAGTCACTTTTATTAATTGTTATAATCAAGTAAACAATTTTTTTTATCATTATTATAAATAAATGTAAAAATCATGCATTCAAAAGACATTGTTTTCATGTGACAATCAAGTTGTTGTATATCATTCAAACATTTACTCCTCAAACTCCCATTATAAATTTATAATAACTTATAAACACGTATTTATGAGTGGAGTTGTACATTTCTCATAGCGAAAATTCTTTACAAATAAAAATCAAAATTTCAGTTCAAATCTCACCACACTCATGGTCTTTTAAGAAGGGTAAATTTCTTTTTAAATATTTTGGTTAGATAACAAAAATTATTTTCAAAATTGTAAAAGCACTAAAGATAAAACTCAATAATATTAGAAGAAGCATCTTTTGCAGAAGAGAGATTTTACTTCAAAATATATTTCTTTTTAAAAGTCATCACAATTTAGTGGGAGAAGTATTAATTAATTAAGGCAAGTTTACTTTAAGAAAATAAGAATTCGTGATCTGATGTAATGGGAAGAATTTGGGACCTTGAGGTACCACCTACCCTGAGGTCTCACGTTCGAGGCAATGAATCTCGATTATAGAGATCCACTCGATTCCCTAAACATAAAAAAGTATATACATCTAGAAGTAGAATCAATTGATGTGATCCAGTAATGGGCTATAAATATTTTCCCTAAATAAATTTTAGAAGTGTTTTTAAAATTTTTTTAATAGTGTTTTAGTACAATAAATATGGAGATGGGAGGTTGAACCTCCAACCTCTAGAAAATGAGCAAGCTAAGATGCCTTAACTCTTGATCCTAGGGTGTACATATGTCAATGCCAAACTGACTCGACTAACTGAATTAGATCAATTTTAGTCACCAATATGTTTGGCATTTTTTCATAATGTCGGTCGCCCAACCAAAACCCCCTATAACCAACTGACATATACATTTTAAAACAAAATTATTTGTATATATATATATATACACACACACATATGTATAGGTATACGTATATAATGTTTAGGATTTAGGGTCTTCTCTCTCAGTCTCCTCTCTCTCCCTCTCCGACTCTCCTTGTCCTTCACGGCTTCACCTCACGTTGTGATCGCCATCGACCCCACCTAGCCTAGCCTCGAGCTATCAACCCCCACCCACTGCTGCTCCCTTTCCGTCACACACTCTGTCGCCTTGCCTCGTATCGTCGCACCTAATCCTTCGCTGCATCGTTTCAGCCGCTACCCAGCCACATAGATCTCGTCGCTCGAGAAACAACAAAGCTAAAAAGAAAGGGAGAGGTCGGTTTGTCGACAACCAACCGACTGAACCGACAAATGGTCGCAGTGGGATCTTTGTCTAGTTGGGTCGGTCGGTTTCCATTTTTGGAAACCCCAACCATACGACAGTCGACGAGAGTTTTGGTCGAAAAACTAACTCGACCGATATACCCCTAATTGAACCTAACTCATGTTGACATTTTTTTAATCATTTAATTAAACATTATCAAAGATTTCAAACATTATTAATTTTAATCAAAGTGTAAGTGCTTACTCTTTATTTAAAATTTATGTTACATTTTGAATATATATATATATATATATATATCAATTGAGGGTGCTATTCAAAATAAGTAATTTTAACAAAGTAATTGGTCAAGACAATAATAACTTAGCGGTAATTAATATATATCTTTGATTCCACATCCCATATATTGTATTAAAAAACATAAAAAAAGACAATAATAACTTAGCGGTAATTAATATATATCTTTGATTCCACATCCC